TATATTTATATTTATATTCAATGTTTTAATGTGCATGGTGTCATATTGTTAGCCACCTTGAGTTCCTATAGGGGAGAAAAGAGGGCTAAACATAAAAGTTAATAAATACAAATAAGAGCTTTGGTTGGGAAGCAGTGAAAGCGATGTTTAGATACGAAAAATAAAGACCAGCTGAGGATGCAAGCTACACTGTGGAATTAATGCAATTCGGCCTCACTTTAACTACCATGGAGCAGTACCCCGGCATCCTGGGAATTATAGTTTTAACAAGGTCTCTCTTCAACCTTCTCTCTGTGTTGGTGCCTCGCCAAACGAAAACTCCCAGGCTTCCACAGGTTGAGCTATAGCAATTAAAGTGGTGTCAAACCGCAGCAATTATATAATGTAGATGCAACCTAGGGACCCTTCCGCACAGCCCTATAATCCAGAATATCAAGGCAGAAAAATCCCACAATATCTTCTTTGAACTGGGTTATCTGAGTCCACACCCAGATTTTCTGCCTTGATATTCTGGGATATAGGGCTGTGTGGAAGCGTCCCCCCCCCCCCCGAATATCAAGGCAGAAAAATCCACAATATTTGCTTAGAACTGGGTTATGTGAGTCCACACTGCCATAGATTCCAGTTCAAAGCAGAAAATGGTTTTTTTTTTTTATTTAGCTGTGTGGAAGGGGCCTGAGAGGGACTCTTTGGATTTAGGTGCCTTGAGATTTTTTCAAGAATGCAGAGATGTCCTTGGAGTGTTCTTATTATTCTCTGCTTTGCTCAAAGGAATGTCTCTGGATTCACATTGCTTTCCGGCCAAAGTGGGGTGTTTCTGTGTACATTTTGCAGTTTCTATCAGGGACAGGGGGGCTACCTGGCCATCTTTGCCATTTGAACAGGTTTAGCAAGTGGGACATTTCCCTAAACGGGGGTTCTCCAGATCACTGCAGCTCCCAGCTTCCACAAGTCAGGATCGATGGGAGCGGCAGCGCAAAAGGCGGCCGGTTGGGCCAGGCTTTTGTCCCTAAAATCGTATCCAAGTCTAACAAACTAGCAAAGTTTCGGGACCTTGTCAACATTTGTGGCTTGCCTTCAGTCTTGAGCGCCTTGATAGAGGAATAAATCCAGGTGAAAAAGATGGCGTTTCCTGGTCCAACTGTGTTTACAATTGGGTGAAAAAGAGCCTTTGCTCATTCGATGCTCACAACTTTCCCTGGAAAGAACTGGGCGAGGTAAAGGGTTGATTGACGTGTTGCCTGAAATGGAAAAGGACACACTGAGGTCGACATTGGATGGCTTTTTTTGGCATTTTTATTTCATTTTTTTTCTTGTATCGTACTTAAAACTAATATTTTCCATATGCCAACTTGGGGTAGTGATTAGAGATATGAGCATTAAGCTACTATGCTAGAGACCAAGGTTGGATCTGCACAGCCATATAATGCAGTTTGAAATGCGTCATGGGGTTAGTATAGACACATGTAACGCAGCTTGAAATGCATTCTATGAGTCTACACCAAGCATGGGCAAACTTCTTTCCTCTCTCCAGGTGTTTTGCATTTCAACTCCCACCATTCCTTTTCTTCCTCGGCCACTTAAACTGTGATGTTTTTGTGAATAGTTTCATGATTGTTTTTGTGAATATTTTCGTGATTATTTTTGTGAATATCTTTCTGAATATTTTCATGGATAGTTTTGAGAATATTTTCGTGAATATTTTTGGAAATATTTTGAGATTATTTTTGTAAATAAGTTCATGATTATTTTTGTGAATATGTTTTGTGAATATTTTTATGTATATATTTTATGTGAATATTTTTCTGAATATTTTCATGGATAGTTTTGAGAATACTTTCGTGAATATTTTCATGATTATTTTTGTAAAAATTTTTGTGATTATTTTTGTAAAAAAGTTCGTGACTATTTTTGTGAACATGTTTTGTGAATATTTTTATGTGAATATTTTCGCGATTATTTTGTGAATATTTTGTGTGTGTGTGTATGAATATTTTGTGATGTTTTGTGCATATTTTCATTATTTTTGTGAACTTATTTCATGATATTTGTTAATAGTTTCATGATTTTTGTGAATATGTTTTGCGAATATATTATTGTATATATTTTTGTGAATATTTTGTGTTTTTTTTTGTTTCGTGATTATTTTCGTGAATTTATTTCATTATTTTTGTGAATAGTTTCATGACCGCTTGAGCGGCTGAAGGGGGGGAAAGGAAAGGGTCTGAGACTGTTGGGAGTGGTGGGAGTTGAAGTCCAAAACACCTGGAGGGCCCAAGTTTGCCCAGCCTGCTCTACACTGACCACACAGTACAAATTCAACAGGGGAAGATCCAGCCCTTCTCCTCCATGAAAACCCACTAGGTGACCTTGAGCAAGTCACACTTTCTCAGCCTCAGAGGTGAAAGCCCTGCCAACAAAGTTTTTAGATCCGAAAGGAAGGAAAGGCGCACAACATCTCTGTCCTTTGTCAATCTCTACAGTGCTTTCCCTTTGCATTTCACTTGCTCTAATGGGGTGGATAATATGATCCAGCTTGATCTCTCTCCCAGGCAGGAATAGACGGAATTGTAACCTCACAACCGTTGAGGATGCTTGCCCTAGATGCAGGCGAAACGTCAGGAGAGAATGCCTCTAGAACACGGCCAGATAGCCCGAAAAAACCTACAACAACCCAGTCATTCCAGCCATGAAAGCCTTCGACAACAAATTGTATTGTTATTTGCTGAGCTGGAAAGTGGGAGTCAATATTCAAGCTGCTCTTGAGGGTGGGCTGTATTTTATGGTTATTTTCCTCCGCTTTGTTTTTGTTTTCGTTCAGAAAAAAGGCGAACCCCCTTTGGGGGAGGGCCATGACTCTTCTCCATGTATTTCCATATACCTGCGAAAGAAAACGGCCTTGTTTGTCCTGACCATAAGGAAGGACACCGAGTGAAGTTGTGTGAAAATAAGAGTTGCGTTAAACGGGCGATTTAGATAAAAATCAACGCCCCGACAAACAGTTTCTGCACCAAATTATATATACAATGGTTTTATAGCAACATAAAATCCTGTTTTTTGTATCAGCAAGGCGAAGGGCTTTTTTCAAAGACACCTTTATACACACAACACATCCCTTGTTTATAGTTCTGCTATATCTGTATCTTTGCAGGGCCGTGTATATATACATATATGTATATATATACATACAAACAAAGGGCAAAGCCTAACGCGGCCTAATTGCAGTCACTTGATATAATCTTTCCAGGTTAAGGAACACATTTTCATGGTGCCGTTTGACCTTGAGGGCGGAGAGGTTGGCGGGAGCTTCTCGAAAATAGACTTCGGTTGTTGTGCACAGTATCAACACAGAGGCACAGCCTGTTCCCGCCGCACCATAAACCGCCCATATCATATCCTTGCCCATAAGGAATCTATCTATCTACGCCTTGGAGATTTCAACGAGACCTAATTGTAATGTATCATAAGGGAGATGTATAAGAAAGAACCTTGGCTATTCTGAGAATATCAATATCTGAGATGCCCAGGAAAAAACCCAAAACAAAGGTGTATTTTCAAATAGCCAATTATTTGGCTGATATAATTTTAAAAAATAATTTAAATTACTAAGAGTTGTTGTGTATTTTCCGACCATGTTCCAGAAGCATTCTCTCCTGACGTTTCGTCTGCATCTATGGCAGGCATCCTCAGAGGTTGGGAGGTCTGTTGGAAACTAGGAAGTGGGTTTATATATCTGTGAAATGTCCAGGGTGGGAGAAAGAACTCTTGTCTGTTGGAGCTAGGTATGACTGTAGCAATTGGCCACCTTGATTAGCATTTAATGGCCTAGTAGTTTTCAACGTCTGGCTTCTTCCTGCCTGGGGGAATCCTTTCTTGGGAGGTGACTACCTGACCCCGATTATTTCTTGTCTGGAGTTGCCCTGTTTTTTTTTTTTTGGAAATATATTTTATTGATAATAAAAAGGGGTAGTGTGTGTGTATACACACACACACACACACACACACACACATATCTTTTCCCCCTCTTTTTTAGTTTTTTTTGTAGTATTCTTTGTGTATTACTTTCTTATCTTTCTCTTTTTCCTACTTTCTTTGCATATTATTGTTATCTATCTATCTCTCTCTCTCTCTCCTGGTGACTTCCATCCAATCCTTTGAGGTTTCAAAATGATTTGTTCTGTAGTGTTCTATTTTACCTTGACTTTAGCATACTTTAGCTTCATTCTTCTTATATTCCATTTAATAAGAGTTCTATTTATAATTCTTTAATTTTCTCATTTCTCATTTTCTAAGCAGAGTTCCCCTGTTTTTGAGTGTTTTTAAAAACACTCGTATCCAGATATTGTTCATTTTCATGTTTTTTTCCTTTCTGTTCTTCGACAATACATAAAAATTACTAAATTCAAAAATTTAGTACATTTAAATAAAAAAATAGTACATTGTTGTGTACTAAATTCTTTGTTCTGACGACTAATTTTTTTTGCCCCAGAATAGAACAAAATGGAGCATTCAAGAGGGAAATCCTTGAATTTATTTATAGATTTATGACGTCACAGACGCTTCCAGGTAAGTTACGAAAAGTGAAAACGCCTTCCTTTCCCCGCTTCTTTTGTCCTCTACCTTTGCCACCAACCCTGTTATACCCCAGCCAGACCCGCTTTGGTTGCCTTTTATATCTTTGTGTTTTCCCCAGGCCTGCCTGTGTGTGAAAGGCACACCCCGATACAATTTTCCCTCTTTTTAAAAACACCCCCGTTCTGCTACTGATGCTGGTAAATAAATAGAAGTGACCCTGCGAAGCGGAGCAAAGAAAACAGAGGCGTCAAAGTTTGGCGAAAAATGAGCCGAGCGGGAGAAAAAGGGAGCGGAGGAAGGAGGGGCCTTTCGAATGCGCCGCAGCCAATCAAAAAGGGGACGGTCCGAGAAGCAACCAATGGCGTGGCCGGCCGTCCTCGACCTGGGACGGATCATATAGGGAAGCGGGCAAAGGCCGACCAGAGTCCAAGGCGCGAGGGTTGGGGGCAAGGCTGGCACCGACTCCTCTCTCTCTCCCTCCCTCTCTCTCCGCCTGAGCCTGATTTGCAGCATTTGGAGAGCTTTGCGTTTCTTTCCCAAAGGGGGATCGCCCTTTCCCGCTCCCCATCGCAACCTCCAAGGGGGCAGGGGATGCTCTGAGGCTGGGCTGGGCTTCCTTTGGCTTTCGGGACGGATTGGATGCCCTCTCGGAGCCTTTCTGCGACCAGAGCGGGACCCATGGCTTTGGTGAGTGTGCTTGCCTTGTGTGTTTGCTCTTTGCTGCTTTCCTGCATCTACACTGGAGAAGGAATGCCATGGTTCAATGCTATCCTATCATTGCAGATTTCCAAGGTCTTTCGCCTTCTCTGCCGAATAGTGCAAACTATAGCATTGAGCCCTTAGAATGGTGTCTAACCGCATTCATTCTCCAGTGTAGACGCTCCTCTCTATCTCTGCTTGGACTCCAGCGGCAGGAGCACCAAGCAGATCTTTCTTTCTCTTGTTGCTGTCTTCGACCCCATATACTATGGGGTGCCTGCAGAAATAAGCATTTCATAAAGCATGGTGTGGACTGTGAGAAATATTTTTTTGGAAAGAAGGTTGATTGAATTTCCAGGTCCCTTCTACACTGTCTAGATTATCTGCTTTGAAGTGGATTATATGGCAGTGTAGACTCATATAATCCAGTTCAAAGCAGCTAATGCGGATTATCCGATTTGATAATCTGGATTATGTGACAGTGTAGAAAAGGCCTGTGTCACTGGCATTCTTCGGCCGAGAAGAATGCCAAAACTACAACATCAAGGATTGCATCGCATTCAGCCACAGCAGTTAAAGTGGTGCCAAACTGTATTAATCCCACAGTGTAGATACCTCCAGGGCCCTTCCAGACAGGCTCTTTATCTCAGGATCTGATCCCAGGTTCCTTATCCCAGGATCTGATTCCAGGGGTTGTTTTTTTTTTTTTTGCATTAAACTGGATTATATGAGTCCCCACTGCCAGATAATCTGGGATAAGATGAAAACCTGGGATCAGATCCTGGGATATAGTGCTTGTCTGGAAGGGCTCCCAGAGTCCTAAACACAGGCTGGGTCCGCACTGCCATACAGTCCAGATTATCACATCAGAACCGACCTGAGTTCCCTTCAGGGTTGAGAGGGGAAGTCTACAAACACCGCAAATAAATACAATAAATAATCCACATTTATTTTACATAAGCCATAGCAGAGCACCTGATAAACCAACCTGGACACAGCATATTATCTGCGAACACAGAAACCTGGACCACTCTAACAACCACCATGTCAGACTACACAGAGAAGCCATTGAAATCCACAAGCATGTGGACAATTTCAACAGAAAGGAAGAAACCATAAAAATGAACAAAATCTGGCTACCAGTACTAAAAAACTCTAAAATTATAAAAGTAAATAAAAAACAAAACTCAAACACAGGGGAACTCCAGACAAGAAACAATCAGGAACACCTAATCACTTCTCAACAAAGGATTCTCCCAGGCAGTGACAAGCCATACATAAAAACTATCAGGCCATCAAATGCTAATCAAGGTGGCCAATTGAAACACTCATACCTACCTTCAACAGACAAGAGTTCTTTCTCCCACCCTGGTCTTAGATATATAAACCTTTTCCTAGTTTCCAACAGACCTCACAACCCCTGAGGATGCCTTGCCATAGATGCAGGTGAAATGTCAGGAGAGAATGCTAGAACATGGACATACAGCCCGAAAAAAACCTACAACAACCCAGTGATTCCGGCCATGAAAGCCTTCGACAATATAATAATCCACATTGTCTTCTTTGAACTGGATTATATTAGTCTACACTGCTATATAATCCAGTTCAAAGCAAATCATCTGGATTTTATATGGCAGTGTAGATCTAGCCACAGTCGGCTAAAATATATTTGAAGGACGTCCAAGTCCTCAGGAGGTTAAAATATTCTGTATCTATCACTTCCCATAGGCTTGAAGCATCCATTTACCTGCATTCTTAAAAAAAAAAAATCACAGGTGTAGGTTTCTCCGTGGAATCGCTAGTGTTGTGTTTGTGAGTCAATCCAATCTTAACCAGGCAGCCTGCAAAGGATTTCAGGGAGTAGTTTGCATGATGGGGGGCCTGATTTGTTGTCGACCGGGCCTTTCCGATTTCAGGCGGCAGGGTTTGTGAGGAGGAGGCATCCCTTGGTCTTCGTCTGAAACTGAGAGAAAGTGACTCCCCCAAAGTGGGAAGCCATGGCTGAGGGGGGAGGGGGGGATTCAAACCTTGCTCTCCAGAGTCTAGCCCAGGCCTGGGCAAACTTGGGCCCTCCTCCCAGGTGTTTTGGACCAACTCCCGCCATTCCTAACAGCTTCAGGTCCTTTCCTTTTCTTGGAAGATGCCTGAGGCTGTTAGGAATGGTGGGAGTTGTAGTCCAAAACATCTGGCAGTAGGGCCCAAGTTTGCCCAGGTCTGGGATAGATAATCCATTCGGTGCCCTTCGCCATCTGCTGCCTGAGACGACTGCCTCACTTTGCCCAAGCTAGGACAGAAAGAACTGTGTATCTGTGTGGGGAGAAAAGGCCATATCTGCTCAAAATCAAGTTCCTCTTTTTCCAGGAACTGCAATCTTCTACCATTTTTAAAGGGCTGGCTCTACTATTAGGGCGTAGGACCTCACCAAATATTAGATGTTGGATATATATGTGTGTGTAAAGATTTCTCATGCCAAGGAAGGGATGGAATGGGATTTTTCCGCTCTGGTGCCGAAATAACCTGGTGTAGGTAAGGTAACGGCGTTCTATGCAGTCATGCTGGCCACATGACCTTGGAGGTGTCTACGGACAACGCCGGCTCGTCTTCTCAGAAATGGGGATGAGCACCAACCCCCAGAGTCGGATACGACTGGACTTAATGTCAGGGGAAAATTTTTACCTTTACCCTAGGTAAGGTATAATAAACTCGGGCCGGAGCTCCGCCTCTGGCTGCATCTACACTGTAATATTCATGCAGTTTGACACTTCTTGAACTGCGATGGCTTAATGGGATCCTGGGAATTGTTGTTCGGTGAGGCACCAACCCTCTTGGGCAGAGGTTGCTAAAAACTTCCTAATGCGAAGCCAAGGATAACTAAAGCACTGTTGAAATGGTGTCGAACTGCTGTGATTCTACATGTGAAGATGCAGCTCAAGCCTGGGAATTATTGGTCTTTCAAAATTTCCCCCCTTTCTCCCATGACCTCGCGGGCCAGGAAGGCCAAAGGTTTTCCCCTCACACTCTGAGGGTCCTTCCACACAGCCCTATACCCCAGAATATCAAGGCAGAAAAGCCCACAATATCTGCTTTGAACTGGGTTATCTGAGTCCACACTGCCATATATCCCAAAGTAGAAAATGTGGGATTTTATTCAGCTGTGTGGAAGGTCTTTAAAAACCTCGCAGCTTTTCCAGGAAGCTATGGGTGCATCTACATTAATGCAACATGGCTCAATGCTGCGGAATAACTAACGAGGAGTAGTAGTTGGGTGAGACACCCAGCACTCCTCTCGAAAAGACTGTACTGCAAATCCCAGGATTCCATAACATATTGGAGACATGTCCATTGAAGTGTAAACTGCATTCATTCCTACGGTGTAGAGATGCACCCACAGTGTTGGCAAAGCATGTGGTTTGCGGCGCGCCCAGCTAACCACGGGTGTACTCTCTCCCTCTCTCCCTCCCTCCCCCTCTCTTTTGTCTTCCTTCTTCCCTTCTCCTTTTCCCTTCTCTCCCTCCTTCCTTTCTCCCTCCCTTCTCTTCCTCTCCTTCCTTCCTTTGCTCCCCTTCTTCCCTTCCTTCCTTCCTTCCTTCCTTTTCTTCCATCCGCCCCTTCCTACCTTCTCGTTAATTCTTCTCTTCCATCCTTCTTCCTTCTTCCATCCTTCCTTCTTTCCCTCCTTCTCTTCCTCCTTCTCTTCCTTTTCCCTCCCTTTTCTTCCCTTCTCCTTTCCTTCCTTGCATTCTTTCTTCTCTCCTTCTCTCTTTCCTCCTCTCTCTCTCTTCTCTTCCTCCTCTTCTTTTTCCTTCTCTTCTCCTCTTCTCTTCTTTCTTCTCTTCTCTTCTCTTCTCTTCTCTTCTCTTCTTTCTCTTCTCTTCTTCTTCTCTTCCTCTCCTTCCTTTTCTTTCTCTCCCCTCTTCCATTCTCTCTCTCTTCCTTCCGCTTCCTTCTTCTCTCCCCTTTGTTCCATCCTTCTCTCCTTCTCTTTCCTTCCTCCTTATCTTCCTCTCTTTCTGTCCTTCCTTCCTTCTTCCTTCCTTCCTTCTTCCTTCCTTCCTTCCCTCCTTCTTCTTCTTCCTCCTCCTCTCCCTTCCTTCCTTCCTTCCTTCCTTCCTCTTCCTTCCTTCTCTTTCAGCCCTGAACCAGGCGTCGGCGGAGGCTTCTTCTGGGCTTGGGCCATGGCTGAAGAGCAGCAGCGCCTTCCTCGAGGCGGGGAGGCCTGGGAGATCGACGTGGAGAGTCTGGAAGACGAGGTCGAGCAGCCGAAGGGACCCCAGTCGGAGGCGGAGGAGGACTTGGAGGAGGAGGAGGATGTGGACGAACAAGAAGAGGATGGAGAGGAGGAGGACTACGAAGAGGAGGAGGATGGCGGGGCTCTGCGTCGCCCCCAGCTCGCTCCGGAGCCGCCGAGGGGCCCCAGCTCCTCCTCCTCCTCCTCCTCTGCCGAGGGCCCCCCACCGGAGGCGCAGCCGCGGAAGCTGAGCCGGACGCCCAAGTGCGCGCGGTGCCGCAACCACGGCGTGGTCTCCTGCCTGAAGGGCCACAAGCGCTTCTGCCGCTGGAGGGACTGCCAGTGCGCCAACTGCCTGCTGGTGGTGGAGAGGCAGCGCGTCATGGCCGCCCAGGTGGCCCTCCGCAGGCAGCAGGCCACCGAGGTAAGCCCCCGGATCCCTCTCTCTCCTATGGGATGCTCCTCTCGGCCTCGCCCAGGACCCCCCCTCCCCCCCTTCACACCCCAAATGCTCACAAAGGGGGCCACTTCTTGATGGGGACACACTTTGTAGCTAGGCATCACTTTGCGACACAGGCATCCAGTTTTACTAGCAAACCAGAGGTTAAACTAGGCCCTTGGAAGAGATACCCACACAGACAGAAATTGTGATAGGGGCACAACAGATCTCATGAAAACCTTTGATATATATATTTAAATATACAGACAGTCCCTGAATTACAAACTTCCGACTTACAAACTGCTTCTCTTTAAGAACGGGTGAGACAACAGGGAGTGAGAAAAATCTACCCCTGGAAGGGACATCCACTCGTGAAAGAGGCTCCATTGTCACAAATCCTTGTGACAATGGAGGCGCAATGGTTTAAACCATTGTGCTAGCAGTATTCTTGACTCACTGAAGATTGCTGGTTCGAATCCGTGAGTTGGGGTGAGCTCCTGTCTGTTAGCTCTAGCTTGCAGGGCCATGAGAGAAGCCTCCCAGCAGGATGGTATCACATCCGTGTGTCCCCTGGGCCAATTCTCTCACATCAGAAGTGACTTGCAGCATGTTCTCAAGTAGCTTCTGACATGATTAAAAAAATCCTTGTTTCCATAACAAGCCAAAATTTTACAAAATTCAGTGATGACGGGCAGAAAGTGAGTTGAAATCTTCAGAAGAGGGGCACAGACAGCAAAACAAACACCCTTCCCTATGCTATCCCAAGCTAAATATATATGTATATGTTTGAATGGAGTTAAACTTGTATCTGTTCCAGCTTCCATACAAATTCTACGTAAAACAAATCTACAGAACCTATCTTGTTTGTAATTTGGGGGTGGCCTGTATATGATGTATTGCTTATTTCACAGAGGTTTTTACTTAAGTTTGTGTACTCAACCTACACAATGAATAAAGCTGGTACACTAACCTGTCAGGACATAGAGTTTGGAAAGCTGTAGAGTGGATACCGCTTGAGTCAGCTTGAACTGCCAGGCTGAATACTATGAAATCCTAGGAGATGGGAGTTTCACAAGGTCTTTACCAAAGAGTGCTGGTGTCTCACTAAAGTACACCTCCCTTAGCATTGAACTACGGCAGTTAAAGTGGTGTCAAACTGTATTTATTCTACAGTGTAAGTGTCTCCTAGGGTTGTGTCTGGATTGGGTTTACAGGTTCAGCATTTGCAGTTGGATCTGGAGGGACTGGGTGTGGATGGAGGGCTCTTCAGGCCTGCCGCAGTTGCTCAGCCTCCCAGGAAAATATTTTCCTGGTCCAAGCAAACAGGTCTATCATGTACCATCTGGTCACAGGCTAGTTTGACATTTTTGTGTTGGCAAAAGAGAATGAATTTAATTAGATCCATTTTGGGAGACTTCTCTCAGTCTGGAATCGGTTCCCAAATCCCCTAAGAGCCCTTGAGGCGGTCCATCCCAGCTTTCATTCAATCCTTTTAGTCAAACTTTGATCAATTAAATGGCATTATACGGAATATCAGGCTACCTTTAGCAGTTTATTTAATACATTAGTGATGACAGAACCAAAACCGCAATTTTTCCTTTCCAAAAATGTAGTGGTTTGAGCATTGGACTGCAAATCTGGAGACCAGGGTTCAAATCCCTGCTCAGTCATGAAAATCCACTGCTCATGTCACACTCTCTCAGCCTCTGAGGAAGACAAAGGCAAACCCTCCTCTGAACAAATCTTGCAAAGAAAATCCTTTGATAGGTTTGCCATAAGTCAGAAATGACCTGAAGGCACACAACAACAACAGCAACTCTCTTGTGTTGTCAAAGGCTTTTATAGCTAGAATCACTGGGTTGCTGTGAGTTTTCCAGACTGTATTGCTGTGTTCCAGAGGCATTCTCTCCTAAAGTTTCACCCACATCTATGGCAGGCATCCTCAGAGAGTGTGAGGTCTGTTGGAAACTAGGCATGTGAGGTTTTCCACATATATATAAAGGTCACTTTCCTAGACTTCGTAACCTCTGAGGATGCCTGGCATAGATGTGGGTGAAACGTCAGGAGAGAATGCCTCTGGAACATGGCCATATAGCCCGGAAAACTCACAGCAACCCAACAACTCTGTAGCTTGATAATATGCCAGATCACTTATGTTCCAGACAATGTTGCATGCAACCTATTTTTGGTTTCTGAGGGAAGCGAAATACATAGCTAAGCATTCCTTTTTGGCTTAGAGGAGAGTTTTTTTGTTTACTGTCCAAATAATTGAAAGTTCAGCCCCTTCCAGGGTGCTCCAAGGCCAAGATTTCAAGCTGCATCACAGCATGAATCCTTTGGCCCTCTAAACATTGACTTAGGAGGAATTGTATTACGAATCAGCTGAACTTACCCTCTAGTTATGTGCTCAGAACTGACTTGAGTTTGATGGTTTTAGAAATAGTATGACAGGAGATAATTCATCAGATAAAGAAATAATCTGTGAAGTTTCCCCTGCCTTTCCCTTTCCCTTTCTTGGTTATTATTATTATTATTATTATTATTATTATTATTTGCCAGGATAAGAAAGGACTTACTGGGAAACAAGTTAACTTTGAACGCAAGACAGTGTACCAAAGGCATGTCCGGACTCCGAGTTTGCTGGCTAAAAGCATTTTGGAAGGTAATACACTCCAGCACTTGAAGTTGTTGATTCTTCTGTATCTCAGTGTTTGTTGATATGATTGTTACTGAAGTGAAATGCCTTGCAGGGTTATGTATTTGGATTGCATTGATGATAACAGATTGTAGGAAGCTGGACAAACAAGCCCAGATGTATATTAATGGCCCACCATAACACAATACAGCCAACCCTCCATATCCATGGATTCTGCTTCCACAGATTAAACGATGCATAGCTTGAAATTATTTTTTTAAATCCCAAAAGCAAACATTGATTTTGCCATGTTATACGCGGGTGGGTCAAAAAGTTTTGCCTCCTGTGTCAAAAACATTATGAACATATAACAGCAGAAGTTGCTACAGAATGTAGCCTGAACTGTCTTCTACACAAAACTACCATTCAACATAGTCACCATCAATTCGTACACATTTGCACCATCGTTTGACCCAGGCATCAAAACCATTTTGGAAAAATTCAGGGATTTTGCTTCGTGACCCATGATTTTAAAGATGCTTTAACGTCATTCAAGTCATTGAATCTGAAACTACATAAGTGGTTTTTCAGAGGTCCAAACAGGTAAAAGTCAGAAGGGGCCAAATCATAAACATTCTTCAAGCAATTATGCATTTTCTTAGGTGCACAAATTTCTTTTGCTAGAAATTCAATGATGGCTCATTCTTTTAGCTTCAGATTCCTGGTTCTAATTCTAATTCCTCAAACTTTTTAAACAGAGGGCCAAGTCACAGTCCCTCAAACTGTTGGAGGGCCAGATTATAATTTGAAAAAAACCATGAATGAATTCCTATGCACATTGCACATATCTTATATGTAGTTCAAGAAAACACTTAAAACAATACAATAATTAAAATGAAGAACCCTTTAAACAAATTTAAACTTATTCGTATTTCAATGGGAAGTGTGGGCCTGTTTTTGGTTGATGAGATAGGATTGTTGTTGATGTTATTGTTGTGTGCTTTCAAGTCATTTCAGACTTAGGTTGACCCTGAGCGAGGGCTGGGTAAAGGACCTTGGAGGGCCGTATCCGCCCCCCATGCCGTAGTTTGTGGACCCCTGTTCTAATTAGTCATTTTGGAAAAAGAAAATACTGTATCAGTAGAGTAAGGATACCTCTATGATATCATACATAGATAGTCCAGTAGCTGTGAAAGAAATAAAAGTTAGAACGATGGAGGCATTAGTTTTTGACCCACCTGTGTATAAGTGGCCCCATTTTACTATAACATTGTATATAATGGAACATGAGCACCCACAGATTTTGATATCTACAGGAGTCCTGGAATTAAATCCTAGTGGACACCAATCTTAAACACGAGTAAATCTAAGGGTGTTTACATTGTAGAATTTATGCAGTTTGGCACTACGTTCGTGGCTTATTGCTATAGAACCCTGGGAGTTGTAGTTGTATTTGGTCTTTATTCTACTCTCTCAACAAGTGCTGGTGGCTGAATTGCAATTTTATAGCTCTTAGAAGGAACAATGAGAACAAAATAGAGGAAGAAAGACTTCTAATTAACACCAAATATAGCTCGATAACATTACCCCTAAGTAATCTGTCAGATAATGGAATGCACTTTAATAAACATTTCCAATTCTTCTCTGATTTGAATCAAATGTATGGCTGTGGTTTCGGTTAAACATATTGGGATTTTTATGAAGATTTGAATTAGTAATGTAGCACCTTGCTCTGAACAAATGCACATGGCAAGAATTGGGAAATTTATATTTTAAAGAAACTATTTAAAAATAAAAATACATTACCCAAGGCAATTTAATATCAACACTGACATGAATTTTGGATCAATATCTCATTTATTAACATTCAATGTGTGCTTCTTTCATTAGAAAATAGTTTTGTTGGATTTAATAGAATTTAATGAAACATCCATCTATGCAGACATAAGATTAGGTTATTTACACATGCAATGATTAGCTGTGACAATTTTAGGAAACAGGGTAGCTGTGAGTTTTCCAGGCTGTATGGCCATGTTCCAGAAGCATTCCCTCCTATCATTTCGGCCACATTTATGGCAGACATCTGCATAAGTTGTGAGGTGTGTTGGAAACTAGGAAAGTGAGGTTTATATATCTATGGAATGTCCATGGTGGGAGAAAGAACTCAAGTCTGCTTGAGGCAAGTGTAAATGTTGCAACTGGACATCTTGATTAGCATTGAATAGCCTTGCAGCTTCAAAGCCTGGCTGCTTCCTGCCTGGGGGAGTCCTTTGTTGGGAGGTGTTAGCTGGCCCTGATTGTTTCATGTCTGAAATTCCCCCATTACATATCTTGATATCACCAGTGGATTTGTAGGTAATAGATCAATAATTTAAAGGTACACCGTTCAGTTTTGTGCAGTTTCTATTTTTTTGTTCTATGCACACACACAAATTTCTAAGGGAGAAGGGATACAATTATTTTCTAGATCTTTTAAAAGCCAACAGCAAATTGATCTAGGTCGATCTTTAGTTTCTATGAATTTTCTAAGACTAAAGGCGCTATTAGAAAAACAACTCTAATATTTCATGGTGTTGATTTTATTAAAAGTATTTGTATCCCAACTTTTAAGGTACAAATTCATTATTTGTACCATTATAGGTACAAACAATGGCAAAACACTTTAATAAAATCATTGAAAAGAATCTCAAAATATAACAAGACTATGGGAATCTTTCCAAGGGCAGTTAATAGAACTTCGCCAGAACAAATAGACATGAGCATTTATAACAGACATGTTGTGTTTTGCCCAATATATTATGTTTTTAAAAAAACGGATCAAAGCTAGTTACAATGATTTGAAAGGCTCATCCTGACCTTTTCTATATTGGGACACCATCTTTTTCTGCATATCATGTATGTAATATCCAAGAGACTTAGGGAGCACAAACGAAGATGATATGAGATTCCACACACTTCCTGGAAAGTAAACTTTATTGAACTTAGCTTGAGTTTTTCTGACAGCTAAGGGCCCTTCCACACAGCCCTATATCCCAGAATATCAAGGCCAAAAATCCCACAATGTCTGCTTTGAACTGGGTTATCTGAATCCATACTCAGTTAGTGGGATTTTCTGCCTTGATATTCTGCTATATAGGGCTGTGTGGAAGGTCTCCAAGGGTGTGTATGATAGAAATCCAGATATGCAAAACAATACATTCTCTCTCTCTCTCTCTCTTTCTCTCTGTATCTCCATATTTCTCTCAGTCTAATATTCACATGACCTCCTAATCTTATCTTTAAAAAAAAGGAAAAGAAATAAATCTCACATTCCTTTACCTGATTTGTCTTAACTTTCTTTCTCTTTTTCTTCTAGTACTCCTTGGACTTTTTCCTACCATGTTTGTGTACATAGCAAGTCATCTAATAGAAATGCGCCAGCTATAGGTACAGATATCTTTGGAAATTATATTACAACTGGTTCAAGAAGGAAACAAATCAATAAACTAAAAAGAAAATATAAAACTCTACCTTCTGAGACTGTTACATAGTTAATAGTGTGGCTATAGTCATGATTAAAAACAATCATGGGGGAACAAAGAGTTTGGATTTGTATTGTCAGAAGAGCAGTGTGAAACCTCCTATTGTAAGACGAGTAAACTGTTGCAAAGTGGGTTCAGAATAACATATCTTATGATGGAAAAATGTTCACAAGTTGAATTTTGGGAGTTAGAAAGCATGGAAAGAAGAGCAAGTCAGTTATATTTTCTGCCCCTTCATATGCACTGTGTCTGAAGTAACCTATTGATAAGGATTTCAAAGTATTGTGTATGTTTTGAAATGCTAGATACATAAAAATAATGAAAATTGAACACCTCATCAACCATATAATAGATACAGGGCTCTCTTCACAGGTAGCTTTCTGAGCACTTTAGTGTATCTTCTTTATACATTAATCCATTGTTCAAGTGACAAATTTGTGTGTGTTTTTCAGGCTACCGCCCCATCCCAGCTGATCCTTACCTTACTGGGAATTCATCCTTGCCAGCTCCTGTGAGTGACAGAATGAGAAAAAGGCGGGCTTTTGCTGACAAGGAGCTGGAGAACATCATGCTTGAGAGGGAGTACAAAGAAAGAGAAATGTTGGAAGCAACACAAGCTGCTGCCTTTTTCCTGCCTAACCGTATGGTGCATGGGACAGAATACAACCCCTACAAATCTTCCTTTGGTCCAAACCAGGTTGAGACATCAAATAAGGATTTCTGTGGCTTCCTGCCAACTTGCCTAGATCTGACTATGCAGTATTCAGGTTCAGGGAACATGGAACTCATTTCATCGAATGTAAGTGTGGCCACCACCTACAGGCAATATCCTTTGCCCTCACGGTTCCTGGTATGGCCAAAGTGTGCCCCCATCAATGATGCCCTTCTGTACCAGCAGTGTCTTCTGAATGCCACCACAGTCCAGTCCCTCAAACCTGGGGCCACTTGGGATCCTAAGGCTTCACAAGGCCAGGATTGTCCAAACCCTGAACATGATGTGATGCTCTCGAAGAATGAGAACTCATTCTTGCTTCCTCATGTTCGAGAATTACAGCCAGCTTCAAATGAACTTCAACACATTCCTCGGGAGAGTCGTGAGAGGTCGGCTTTCTCACCCCCTAAAAGGACATTCTCACAGATTTCTGACAAGGACAACCTGATTCCTCAGGAACATCCCCTCAGCAAGGTCAGCAAAGAAACCACTAAGCAGCAAAGTCCGCCTCTACCTCCTGCAGGACAACCCAAATATAGTCCCTTCCATTCATTATTCCAGAAGACACTATGCAGCAGATCTGGACCAGAGTTGAAAATGACATTTGATGAGGCATCCAAGAAATACAAAGAGAATACCATCAAGGAGAACCAGAAATACAAATTCACCATTGATAGATATGCAAAAGACTTCTTGGGGACTAAGCAAGTTGTGACAAAATTGTCAACAAATGAACCTTTGTCATTTTCTGTTGAATCAATTCTTAAGCGGCCAACTTCGATGGTGACCAATGTTTCTCAATAAGATAAGATAATCTTCAAAAGACTCAAGGTCCTGAATTTGCACTTACAATTGACATCATATTAGGAAGAAAACCCCTGTGTATTCAGTGGAACTTTATTTTTGTTTAAACATGTTTGGGATTAGGAGGCAAGAGACTTCATGTTCTGATCCAAGATGTATTTGGAAGAAGTTCCCTTGATTTTGCTGGGATTTATTTTTAAATAAAGCAGGACAAGATTTTGACTTGTTCCACTGACATCAACTTACTCCAGTACAGCTAATACTATATATTTCAACTACAAATTCTCCTAAAGAATTTGAATTGGCTGTTCAGTTGTTTTCAATGTAAATATTACTGCCATTTCTTCTGCAAAATGAATGTCTGCCAATTTTGTATAAAGAATTTGGGATGTAAATGGTGATTTTAAAGTGTACATAAATATGCATGTTTTTCGTATGCAAATAAATATATTTAATTGTTTTGCACATACAACTTTTTTTAGGGGTGGGCAGGGGCTCTAATTCTCATTTTCCTCCACAACATCTAAGAGACTGTTGTAGCACTAAATCCACTTTAACTGCCATTGTGACATCTTATAGAATCCTAAAATTAGCAGTTTAGGGAGTGGCATTTAAAAATCTCAGCCATAGAGCTCTTCAGCCCAACTAAACTACAAACTGCAGCAGCAACACCTAGGGGACTGTTCATACTGTTTTCCACCATGTGTTTTCAAAGGCGGTTGCTTCACTTTGCTTAATGGTAGTAGGGCCAGCTTGCTATGTTGTCTTCAATTTCACAGTGTAGTGAATCACTCTTGCAGCAAAACAGTTTTTCTTCCAACTTCTCCTTTCATCAATGCAAGATCAATAGGAAGGTGATGTGTTTTCCCACATGCAATGAAAAATAAAATTTATGGGCCTATACCCAGAAACATGGTAAAGATTCACTGAACACAGATTGCTTCCATGCTGGATTGGAATGATGGCCATCCTTTTTCATCGCTGGCCATCTTGAATTTCTACATACAACAGAATATTTCCTTCCCTCATGCTGCAGCCAAAGAATTTTATAACCAAGATATTTAAATTGAGCTTTAAATAAATAAATAAAAAAACCTGTCCAGTTTCCACAGCCTTGCTTCTGTACTTCCATACAAAAAGATTCCAATATTATGCATTGATATGCTTTGTTATACATAGGTGCTAGAGCATAAAAATGCAAAATTGTGCATCAAGTAAACCCAAATATCACACTTAGGTGGGATAGTGATTCATGAACATCTTTCCACATATTATTGATAAACAATGTGATTTAAATGCTAATCATGTAGTTTTACATCTTCTGTCCTCCCACTCTGTCGAATAGCTATGAAAAAGTGTATAGTGGGCACCCATGGCTATCTAAATATTGTTGAACTCCATTTCCTTTCAATCCTAGCCACTATTTATTTATTTGCTTTATTTCTATACCGCATTTTTCAGCCCAAACAGGCGACTCAGGTATGGGCAAACCCAGGCCCAGGGGCAGGAAACAGCCCTTGGGCTCTTTTCTCAGGCCCTCCCTTCTCACCATCCTATCCTTCCTTCCTTCTCTTTCCTCCCTCCTTTCCTCCCTCCCTCCCTCCCTCCCTTCCTTCCTTCCTTCCCTTTTGTCTTTCCGTCCTTCTCTCTTTCCTCCCTCCCTCCATTCTCTTCTGCCCTTCCTTCCTTCCATCCTTTTCTTATTTTATTTATTTACTGTATTTGTATACCACCTTTCTCAGCCTGTCAGCGGCTCTTCCTCCCTCCCTTTTCTTTTTCCTTCCTCCTTTTTTCCTGAGGGATGTTTAGCTGGGAGAAGAAAGGGAACATGAGAACCGTGTTTCAAGATTTAAAAGGGTGTCCCATTGAGGGGGAGAAGGAGGGGAAAAACTGACTTTCTGCTGCTCTAGAGACCAGGGCATAAGGGAGCAATGGTTTCCAATGGCAAGGAAAGAGATTTGACTGAAATGATTAGGAAGAACTTTCTGAGAGTATGAGTTGTTGGAAAGTGGCATAGGCTGCCTTGGAGTATGGTGGCGTCTCCTTCTCTGGAGGCTTTCCCCCAGAGGCTATCTATCGGGAGTGCTTTGATTGTGCCTTCATGCATGGCAGAGGGTTGGACTGGAAAGCCCTGGGGAAATCTTCCAGCTCCAGGATTCTAGGATTCTATATCAGGTGTAGGCAATGCGGGTTCTAATGGATACACTGTTTTCTCTCCTATCCATCATCTAATCTTGAGCAAGGATAACCCTTTTGGGATCCAAATGTTCTCTGTGTTTCCTTCACTTTCTGCCTCCCAAAGAGAAGAGGAAGGGGAGGAAAGGGCAGGGAGGGGACTTGGGGAGAACCCCCTCCCTACTGGCCTGCCCACCCTTCTCCAGCCCAGCATGTGGCCCCCAAGTTAGAAAGTTTGCCCATGCCTGCACTAAATGGTGAGGCATGAAGAGGAGCAGTAGCACATAACTGTTGGATGGCCAAAGATTTATCTATTATGGAACAGAGACTTCAGTATAAAACTGGAATGTACACCATGGTTAAATTCCTATGCACACTGGAAGTAAACCCTAATGAATTTAGCAATATTTACATCTAAGTAGGCAGGATTATGTTTGGGGGGGGGCTGAGTTTGGTTCAGGGGTGGGGGGGGGGGGGCTGAGTCTGAGTGAAAGAGGGTCTACCCTAGCAAACCTTTTGTATCGTTACCCCAATACCCCCATGCATATGGGATATATTGAGCATGGTGATCAGATCATGATATGAATAAACATAACAGTTTAAATAATGTATCAGTAAGGCCTTCTTGCGGACCACCATGAGAATTTGGGGGGGGGGGGGGCTGAAGCCTCCCAAGCCCCCCCCCCCCCCCCCCCAGCTACATGCCTGGCACAGGACTATTTGGGTAGAAGTGAAAATCTCTGATGTGGCAATTGCACAGAAGAAACAAAATATGATCTGTGAAGTTTAATATGAGACCATCTGCCATAATACATGCCCAAGTGTGAATGAAATAGTGATTCAAAGTAGCAGACTCTGGATTGGTGATAGTCCACGAACCATTGGCTGCAAGTTGACACATAATTCTCCTTAGAAAACAAGATACAATGTAAACAATGGACTGACACATTTTGTTTATAAAGCTATTGCCCTCCCAACCTTGCTATACACCTGCGAGACGTGGACTGTCTACAGATGTCACATGCAACTCTTGGAATGATTTCATCAGCGCTGCCTCCAAAAAATCCTGGAAATCTCTTGGGAAGATAGGCAGACAAATGTCAGCATGCTGGAAGAAGCAAAGACTGGGAAGCCCTGGCCCTTGTGCGCTCCAGCTGGAGGCCAGCTGTGACCAGCAGTGCTGTAGAATTTGAAGAGGCACGAATGGAGAGCGAAAGGGAGAAACGTGCCAAGAGGAAGGCATGTCAAGCCACCCCTTACCGGGACCGCCTTCCACCTGGAAACCGATGCTCTCACTGTGGGAGAAGATGCAGATCAAGAATAGGGCTCCACAGTCACCTACAGACCCATTGCCAGGACACCGATCTTGCAGGACCATCATCCTCAGGCAATGAGGGATCACCTAAGTAAGTACTGACACATTAGAAAAGAAGTAGCTGATTCTCCCACATCAGATAGTTTAAGAAGTACTAGAAAGTATTGAGCAACCTAATTTTGGAATATAGTTGAATATCTTAATCAGCACTCCAGTAAACACATGACTAACTATTTTCAAAAGGAATTAACTTCCACCCATCTTACACCATACTTTAAAAACCCATTAAGAAACAAATAAACACAGTAGCCTTCCATTAAGCAGACTCTTGAGTTCCTCCAAAAACTTACAACACCAAATGTAAATTTGGGGGAGCAATTCTCTTGACTGTGTTTGCAAAGTGAAAGATACGTCTGATTCCCAGCCAGCAATATGATGATAGAGAAAGAAATAGATGAATACATGATCGATCCCAAATGAACCAGGATTTGTCCTGCGGGGTTGCAATTGTCTTATTGATTTATTACTCTAGATTTCATGATTCTCAAGATACATACATCCCAGGTAAGTGCAATGTCTGTATGCAAAACATGTGTTGCAAATCTTGTACAAGGTGCAATCATTGAGATTAAAAAAATTTGGACTGCTTCTACAGTGGGAGTTTGATGTATTGGTTTTCTGAATGGAGTGCATGCATGGCATCTTGCCCTTATTGTCTAACAATGTGGTGTAATTGAATTCTCCCAGCATGCTGAACTTGCTTTCTGGATATGGAAAAACTCTTTGGGACTCTCAGTTTTTCCAAATCCTATCAAGGAAACCCTTGCCAAATATTTTCTAGGGCAATGGATATGTATCTTTAAGACATATTCTCAAAATGTGGTGAGAGGGAGAATTCTTATTTGGTGGGTGACACGTTCATTTTACCTCTTGCCATAGCTACTCCTTTGTCCTTCCGAAACACACAACCACCCCTCCCCTGGCTCATTGTAGTAGAGTCTACAAATCTGGTAAGGTGAAACCAACTTTCTGTTCCATACATTTCACTACCACAGTGCTTTTTCAGTTGAGGTAAGCAGTGTTTGTGTAAGTCCCTTCTGTTGACATCTTTGATGTTACAGAGCAATTATTCAAGCTGTGAAGCCTTTGAATAGGGAGTGGGAAACGTTTAGGGATTTTTTAAAGTGCTGTTTTTTGACAAGAGGCTAGCTTCTGTTTTTCCCATCAGACTTCTAACATCTTAAAGTGGAGAGTTGTTGTTGCCTTTGGTCACCGGATGGACACCAGGACTGAATGCGTGGATATCTATTTTCTCCCACCTCCTCCCCTTGCTGACTGGGCAAAGCTGTTCCTCCGTAGACTTTATCTACCTCAACAAGAAGCTCAGCAACGGCCTGGCTGTGAAGCAAACAGACTAGTTTGTATCTTAGGAGCCAAATTAAAACACTAATGTCTAGCAGGTTACATTTTCATGACTGGTTACGTTCTAGCAGGTTACATTTTCATTCACTTCCTTTGGATACTGCAGTAGCAGTATCCTGCACAATCCTCAGTTGCAAACCTGAGCCAATACCTGAAGATACTCTGCATTCTACAACATTTGGAAGTACTTTTCCAACATCAATTTCAATTTTGTCCACCATTTCTATTTTTTTTTTGTACTGGGCCTTAGGGAAGGAATGAGAGGGAAAATTCCCTCTGAAATGTTCTGGTTGCTTTCCAAGCTTTCATTCTTCTTTTACTTTCAACTCTACCCTTCTTTCTGCTTAAAACATTTATTTCATTTTGAAGTGCTCTGTTGTCAGTGATCCATATCTCTTCCTGTGAGCAACACAGAACCAGCATGTTTCCAATTCTCCTCTATGCTACATTAGAAAGGTTTTTGCTATGCGTGTATGAAGTGTCTTCTTCTACACATATCTGTTTCAGCTAGAAAAGTATAGAGCTAGAAAGATGTTTAGAATTTAAGCACTAGAAATGAT